TAGATAGATAGATAGATAGACATTCAACATTAGATAGATAGATAGATAGACATTCAACATTAGATAGATAGATAGATAGACATTCAACATTAGATAGATAGATAGATAGACATTCAACATTAGATAGATAGATAGATAGATAGATAGATAGATAGATGTACTACTGATCAAATGATCACCATATTTATATACTATAATACTGATCCAGGGTACACTACCATAATGGAAGTGGTATTTTAATGGTATCACAATTACTCTAATATTAGATTACATAGTTTCACTATAGTTGTGATTTGATGCCACGCCGTGTATCCTCGTTCATTTCCATTCATCACTTCCACACCATTTTCAGCTTTGAAGCAGTATTTTTTACATTTCTATCTAAACTAACAACATTAACGCAACGCAGAGATGTGGTAAAATTGACTTACTCTGTGAGTCCGTTAACGAAATCATGTTTGTGTGGTTTATCAGATGATTTACTGACTGATGTGTGCAACTCTTGTGTGTGTGTGTGATCGCCACGACACCGGAAACACGTAGAGATATTTTAAACGTCTGAAATGACGCAGGTACTCGGTGCCAAAAATCAGATACCGTTTATTTTTATCATTTTCACTTTATTTTATTTAAAAGCTATTTTATTATTACTAATTCCTACTCCCACGTAAATACTTGCTAATGTTTTTAGTTTGAATGAGCGTAGTCGCTTTTGGTTGCGTTGCTGGGAAATGTAGTTTTTAGTAATATCCGCATACATTCTAGATTATAGCCAAAAAACTACAAATCCCACCAGGCGCAGTGGGAAGCAGGAAGGCATGTGTGTAGCTGGGAGACGTTCATTGAAGTATCACTAGTTCACTAGTGATGGAACATTTAGACATTTATTATTCACAATGCCAACATCCGGATTAGTGTGAAGCTAAAATAACTGTGTGATTGTTTCATTTTAACCTTTGACAATGAATACGTTATTCGCGATCGCTTTGGTGTTTGTTGGTTGCTGCAGTAATGTTGTGTTTTTGGAACTTTTAGTTAGGTGAGTTGCATTTCTCTCATATATGATATTTTTTCATATTTGAGTTTGTGTTCACTGCATTTGAACATCATATATGCTGCCATTTCTTGCTTCTTTAAATTGTATATTTTACAGGGATTTCCCAGGATGTGGGAATATTGTCACATTTGCCCAGTTTGCCTTTATTGCACTGGAAGGGTTCATCTTTGAGACAAACTTTGGACGCAAAAAGCCACACATACCCCTCAGGTTAATAATTTGTTACATATTGTACGCGCATACATGTATTTTAATCATAACAGGCTTGTTTAGGCTTGTCAGAACAGTGTAAATGTCATACGTGCATTCGTTCATTCATTCTTTTTTCAAAAAATAAATACATAATTATGCATTTTTACTCAAACAACCTGTTTTTACTTGTTGAAGGAGGTAAAAGGCAGTGATTACCATTATTGATTATTATATTATTATAGGTGAGAGGTGAACGCTGTGCTTTGTCACAGTGACAGGTGGTTTGTAAGTCAACACACAGTTCAGACAGCTAATATCTTGAAAGTTTTCAGTGTGCATGCAGTACACAGTTTACATTAGGGCTGTGCAATATATCGAAATATCGCAAATGTACATATCGCAATATGCATATCGCTACAGCTTGCAATATTTGGGGCCATGAACAAAAGACAAAGAGAAAATCACTCTCTGCTCTTACCTAAATAACTTTTGTAGCTTAAATAAGAATCAGTGCATATTGAATTCAAAGAGTGTATCCTCGTTCATTTCCATTCATCACTTCCACACCATTTTCAGCTTTGAAGCAGTATTTTTTACATTTCTATCTAAACTAACAACATTAACGCAACGCAGAGATGTGGTAAAATTGACTTACTCTGTGAGTCCGTTAACGAAATCATGTTTGTGTGGTTTATCAGATGATTTACTGACTGATGTGTGCAACTTGTGTGTGTGTGTGTGATCGCCACGACACCGGAAACACGTAGAGATATTTTAAACGTCTGAAATGACGCAGGGACTCGGTGCCAAAAATCAGATACCGTTTATTTTTATCATTTTCACTTTATTTTATTTAAAAGCTATTTTATTATTACTAATTCCTACTCCCACGTAAATACTTGCTAATGTTTTTAGTTTGAATGAGCGTAGTCGCTTTTGGTTGCGTTGCTGGGAAATGTAGTTTTTAGTAATATCCACATACATTCTGGATTATAGCCAAAAAACTACAAATCCCACCAGGCGCAGTGGGAAGCAGGAAGGCATGTGTGTAGCTGGGAGACGTTCATTGAAGTATCACTAGTTCACTAGTGATGGAACATTTAGACATTTATTATTCACAATGCCAACATCCGGATTAGTGTGAAGCTAAAATAACTGTGTGATTGTTTCATTTTAACCTTTGACAATGAATACGTTATTCGCGATCGCTTTGGTGTTTGTTGGTTGCTGCAGTAATGTTGTGTTTTTGGAACTTTTGGTTAGGTGAGTTGCATTTCTCTCATATATGATATTTTTTCATATTTGAGTTTGTGTTCACTGCATTTGAACATCATATATGCTGCCATTTCTTGCTTCTTTAAATTGTATATTTTACAGGGATTTCCCAGGATGTGGGAATATTGTCACATTTGCCCAGTTTGCCTTTATTGCACTGGAAGGGTTCATCTTTGAGACAAACTTTGGACGCAAAAAGCCACACATACCCCTCAGGTTAATAATTTGTTACATATTGTACGCGCATACATGTATTTTAATCATAACAGGCTTGTTTAGGCTTGTCAGAACAGTGTAAATGTCATACGTGCATTCGTTCATTCATTCTTTTTTCAAAAAATAAATACATAATTATGCATTTTTACTCAAACAACCTGTTTTTACTTGTTGAAGGAGGTAAAAGGCAGTGATTACCATTATTGATTATTATATTATTATAGGTGAGAGGTGAACGCTGTGCTTTGTCACAGTGACAGGTGGTTTGTAAGTCAACACACAGTTCAGACAGCTAATATCTTGAAAGTTTTCAGTGTGCATGCAGTACACAGTTTACATTAGGGCTGTGCAATATATCGAAATATCGCAAATGTACATATCGCAATATGCATATCGCTACAGCTTGCAATATTTGGGGCCATGAACAAAAGACAAAGAGAAAATCACTCTCTGCTCTTACCTAAATAACTTTTGTAGCTTAAATAAGAATCAGTGCATATTGAATTCAAAGAGTAAATACTAAGCAGTGTTTTATTTTTCCTTTTTATTATTCAGTTCCTAAACTCATGTTAAAATGATTACACTAATGTTAAAATGACATTTTTATGTAATGCTCGAGTAAAACACATACCGTTCACTTTCAGAAGTTGTTGTAGGGGTGCTTTCTTATTAGAATCAGAATCAGAATGAGCTTTATTCACCACTTAAGTGTGCGCAAACACAAGGAATTTGTTGTGGTTTTACAGGAACTCTTGGTACATACATACATACATACATACAAATAACCATATATATATATATATGACACAAGATAGTTATAGAAGTTATAGAAGATACTGACTCGGCAACAGCTGAGTAAAACTGTTTCATCTGAGCATGTGGCACTTTAAGCATTATCGTATCGCATATCGAATATCGCATTATTTAATGAGTTATCGCATATCGCATTTTTCTTCAATATCACACAGCCCTAGTTTACATATTTGCACAGAAAATCAGATATGATAGCTGGACATCACTTGCTGAATGTGGTGTTGACTACAACAATAGCATGCATACTATATGATGTTTCGCATACTCCGGAGGTAGCATACAGTATATACTGCACACAGTGTGTGTTAAGCACTACTCTAGTATTCCATTCCTAACATAGTCGTGCAGTTTTGAAGCTCGACAAGATGACTTACGTTGCAGTCTTTGTGCTAAATCTAGACGGATCTCTGACATTAATGCTTCAGCCTCAAGACAGACTTTACACTGGACGTCAAGATTGTTTATTGAGCAATGAATGAATAATAAAGTAATTGGTATTAAAAACATTGCAATTTATATGTTTAATTAACATGGATAGTTTGCAGAACCTCTTTGAATTAATATACACATTTTTATGTGATGTAGACCCTGAGAATTCAAGTTAATAACTTTATTCTAATTTTAAGTTAATAATTACCTAATTAAATTAAATAATAACTTAATTATTAAGTCAGTAATTTAACAAAATATTTGCATGTTTGCAGTTCTCTGATGTCATTTAATGGTCACAAGTATTAAAGTATTAGTATTAATGTATTAATGGTCACAATTAAATATTTTTAATTGTAAAATAATTTGATTTAATTAATAATTTGCTTTAACAACTAGATATGATATGTAAAGATGGTACAAGATTATTCTATTAAATTCAATGGGATGCACCAGTTATGTCAAAAGTAATAAAACAATAGTCAGATTATATTACCTAAAAAGCGTAATGTAGTAGATTACATTACTTTTTGCCATGTAATTTGAAATCAGTAACTTTGTAAGTAATCTACTAAGCATTGCTCATATATATGCATTACATTATTTCAATTCAGTATTGTTTTCCCTCCTACTTATGAGGATTTCATGACTTTTGATGCATTTCCTTTTTGCAGTAACTATGTGATCATGGTGACCATGTTCTTTACCGTCAGCGTGATCAATAACTACGCCCTGAACTTTAACATCGCTATGCCTCTGCACATGATCTTCAGATCAGTGAGTATCGTTTATTGCATTCATTCATTGCTTTCAAATCTGTGCCTTATCGATCTCTGTATCTTCTCATTTTGATCACAGGGATCTTTAATAGCAAACATGATCCTCGGTATTATCATCTTGAAGAAAAGGTAGGCTGAAGATCATGCACAAAATCATTGCTTTATTTAGCGTATTATTCAGTCACGTTATTGCTTGCAGATATTCGGTGAGTAAATATCTCTCCATCGTGCTGGTGTCTGTGGGCATTTTCATCTGCACTATTATGTCGGCCAAACAAGTGGTGAGTTTAGTAGTTGTTTTGTATTAACAGACATAACGTACTTGCATTTCAATGCTTTATTTCACATTTATCTGCACCTAATACGCCAGGTTTGATCTTTATGTAGAATGTTGAGAAAGGGGCCACAGAGGAAGATGTTTTTTATGCCTTCATGCATTGGCTTCTGGGTAATATTCTCCACATTCACACTCAGGCAATATTTGCTGCATACTGTATAGAATATACTACCATTTAAAAATTAGTATGTGAAATGGCATTAATAACAATAAGCATTTATAATAGTTGCATGCTGCATTATTAGTAGTAGTATGTAGTATATACGGTATTACTAATGTTCAAAAGTTTGAGGTCAGTATTTTTTTTAAAGGAAATTAATACGTTTATTTAGCAGGGATGCATTAAAGACATTTATAATGTTACAAAAGATTTATATTTGAAATAAATGCTGTGCTTTTGAACTTTCTATTTATCAAAGAATCCTTAAAAAACAAAACATATCACAGTTTACACTCAGATATGAAGCAGCACAACTGTTTTCAACATTGATAATAATTTTTAAAAGTTTCCTCGGCAGCATATTAAAATGATTTCTGAAGATCATGTGACACTGAAGACTGGAGTAATGCTGAAAATTCAACTGCGCATCACAGAAATAAATTACATTTTAAAATAGAAAAAACAGAAAACAGTTATTTGAAATAGTAATAGTAAGAAATATTACTACAGATTTAACTGTATTTGATCAAATAAATATCGCGTTTTAATGAGCATAAGAGACTCAAAAATATAAAAATTCATACCAACCTCAAACTTTTGAACAGTAGTGTACTTATTGCAAACTGCTAAATTAGTATCAATAGTGTGTTAACATGCAGTTCTGAAGACATGTACGTATATGTGGTTAGTTAAAGCATTCTGCATCATATTTGATTGCATTAATGTTGTTGTGTTTCAGGTATCGCCATGCTGACGTTCGCCTTGCTGATGTCTGCAAGAATGGGCATTTTCCAGGAAACTCTGTACAAGAAATATGGCAAACACTCCAAGGAGGCTCTGTTTTACAATGTCAGTCCCTAACTATACATACAGTGGTATGCGAAAGTTTGGGAAGCCCTTGCAGAATCTCTGAATAATTTTTACAAAACAAGAGAGATCATACAAAATGCATGTTATTTTTTTTATTTAGTACTGTCCTGAGTAAGATATTTTACATAAAAGATGTTTACATTTAGTCCACAAAAACAAAATAGCTGAAATTATTCAAATAACCCCATTCAAAAGTTTGTGGTTCTTAACACTGTGTTGTTACCTGGATGATCCACAGCTGTGTTTTTTGTTTTGTGATGGTTGTTCATGACTCTTGTTTGTTCTGAAAACAGTTCAACTGAGCACTGTTCTTCAGAAAAATCCTCCAGCTCCTGCAGATTCTTCAGTTTTCCAGCATGTCCGGGAAACATGCAAGTATCTTCTGTTGCTTCCGAAGGGCAATACTATATGAAAAAAAAAAAAAAAGAAGATATTTCAACAAAATAAGAAAAATTTGGACATTTTCATTCTGTCAGACATTTTCATTCACAATGCATTCGGCTCTTAATGCATTGTGTTTCCTTCTGGAGCATCAGTGAATGTTTGAACCTTCTGTAATAGTTGTGTTTGAGTCCCTCAGTTGTCCTCAGTGTGAAAAGATGGATCTTAAAATCATACAGTCACTGCTGGAAAGGGTTCAAATATGCAGAAGATGCTGGAAAACTGAAGAATCTGCAGGACATTATGGAACAGTGCTCAGTTTAACTGTTCAGAACAAACAAGGGACTCATGAACAACTATCACAAAACAAAAAAACAGTCGTGGATCATCCAGGTAACACACAGTATTAAGAACCACATACTTTTGAACGGAGTTATTTTAATAATTTCTGCAATTTTTTTTTTCTTGTGAACTAAATGTAAACATCTTTTATGTAAAATATCTTACTCAGGACAGTACTAAATAAAAAAGAACATGCATTTTGTATGATCTCTCTTATTTTGTAAAAAATTATTCACATTTTCACAGATTCTGCAAGGGGTTCCCAAACTT